AATTTCTCTACCTCTCTCCTAGAGCTCTTTGCTAGCAACCGCCCACCCAGTTGCATAGCTACCAACTCCCCCCTTTTTCCTCCTCCTTCAGACGCAGTGTTTCACTGAGAGAGAGGAAAAGAATGGACTGAGTTACTTTGGAGAGTGCTTAAAGTACTTACTGAGGTTACTTAAAGCCTTTCATTGTGCTTTTCCAGACCTTGACAGCCATCCCTCTGCATAGCTGTTGCTCCCTATGGGTCTTCTGTCCAGCCCTTCCTGGTCTAGGGCTTCCCTAAAGGCCCCAGGCATTCCTCTGCAGGCAGCCGTCCCCCCTGTCCCTGTCTGCCCTGGGTTTGGGGTGAAGCATGTTGTTCTCTCTGGGTTTTCACTTTTCATCTCTGAGGGAAGCCTCCAGCTGACATCTCCACACCCTTCTCCCTTGTAAATCATGTACTTATGATAATATAGAATGGTGAGATTCCCCCCCCCCCAGCAACTCAAAACCAGATCAAGTTATTACTGATAAAACAACTATTTTACAAATTTGCAGTAGTCAGGCAATCAGTAAAAATAAATCTGACTCGGATTGGTACATGGAAAAATAATCAGATGTTTCCCCAACATTATATGCTCCAGATAGCTGAATAGCAGTAACTTGAGTTTTCAAAAAGATTAGCATTTTTTTTTTAAACTGTGTATGAAACAAATGATAGAAAATTTCCTTTTCTTCAGTGCATAAAGATCTAGCAATCTGATACAACAAATCAACGCTTGAAGTAACTGATTATAACTCTAACATGAAAAATGGTATATACTAGAGAACAGCATATTGTATGCTTTCTAGCAATGTGCTAAACTTGTTGATTCGGGAACCGAACATTCTGGAGAACCCTGAATGTCCCTTTTCCCCTCCTGACCATGCTGAACCTTCTCCTGGACAATGTTGTTTTGGCAAGTTTTTTTAAATGAATTGTTGATAACTCCTGTTTTCTTAAAATGCAAGTTCCCACATTGGTTAAAACTATTACATGCTTTACTAAAGATTTCAAAGATTTAGTTATTTTAATAGAATGTGATCTGTTTGCATTTTCCTATTAATAAACTTGATTATCAGTTACTCAGTTGATCAATTTATAGTATTTATTTTGAAATATTCATTAGTAGGAAGTTTGTTCTGCATGCTTCTGGTTAAGGATAATTTTTCCCGTTTTACTTTTCAAAATATGAATCAACCTTAGAATAAATTCATCTTTATTATCTTCTTGTTTATCTGTAATAATGAAAGGAATTCTAATCAGTTTACTTCTTTCATTTGCATTGAAAGAAGAGATGAGTTTAAATTTACTCTGTAAGCAGGATTCCTCAAATCAATAAACATAGTCCAAATCATTATACTTTTCTAGATTACTATTGTGACCTAGTGGCATTTTTGATTTATTCCAGTTTATATAGCAATCTGAAAGGATCCCAAACTAATTTATTAATGTAATGAGATTGGAAATAAAGATTTCTGGACAACAAAATTATCTCCAAAAGCCTTCCATTGTAATCCCATTATTTTTGAAGAATTTAATTATGTAGGCAAATTTAACTAGGGAAAAAAACCACACCAGTAATAATCATCTGTGATTTAGGGGTTGAATAAATCTATACTGTAAATAAAAAATATAAAACTTTAGGAAAGAAACCATTTTGAAAATTCCAGGAAATCTATATCAAAGCACACAGATCTTGCAGGAAAGTATTCCAACATGCTATCCTAGGAAGTAAGAATTACTTGGAAAAGATTGGAACTGTTGCACTAGTCACTCAAATAGCGAGGAGGAAGAAGAGGGGGTATAGTAACAGCAGTTTAGTTTATTGCTTGAAGATAACATTAAACATCTGGAAAGAGTAATGTTGGTTTTGAGTCCCATTAGGAAAGCCTCAAACAAGGACAGGGTATGAAGCTTTTTAATTTCACTCCCAAATAGCCATATAATAATAGACACAATAAGAAGGGAAAGACTTTAGTTACTATAAAAAAAAATTCCCCTCTCACCCCTATGGGTGGTACGTGTCTTCCT